TAACCAGACAAAATGCAAAGTGTCAGACAATACCAGTGGGAGCCACCATAACACATGCCAGCAGTCTGGAGAAGACAAAGCAGCTAGACTGGGAAGGAATTCAGGACAGACACATGCAGTGTTGCTACCTGTCTCTGGACTACCTCCAACATCTAGGTACACACTATGCAGACAGAAAGGTGACTTATAAGGGACATGCCCTAATATAAAAATGACACCAAGGGATTTTGCAGCATTTACTGTTAAGTAAGATCAAGGACACAATCAAGAGGGTTAACAGCAACAACAGGACATGCTTCTATGCTGGTCACTCGGAGAACAAGACAATTTAGAAGGAAATGGTAGAGCAAAGAAGAATGAGCTGTGTGAGCAAGAAAAAAGGAGAAAAGTTTTGAATTGCTCTGCTGGAAAAAGGCAAATGCACAAGGATAATAAAGGGTGACCACGTGGCTGTCAAAGAACATGATCAGTAGGAGACAGCTATTCTGACAGGATAAGAAAGTGAACTCAGAAACTAAACTCAGGCCTGGAAATGGGAACCAGCAGCAAAAAGCCTAAGAGATCATCTTACAAAAAGGAAAGCACTAAATGGGTAAAAACTTACACTTAAGAATCAATGAAGCAGCCGTGGAGAGAGCAGAAGACAGTATAGGACAGAAGCTCAGAGGAAAGGAAGAGGAGGACAGAGAACTGAAGATCAGGTAATACAGGGGAGGCTTGAGAACAAAACAGTTGTTCCTGATCTCTCATTTTCAGACATTTGATACTATTGGGTAAGGAATCAGAGCATGAGAGCAGAATGATAGAAAAATCATCAGGACTGAGTTATGAATAGCAGACAACTTTTGAGAACATTTAAAGGCAGGGCAAGAATATCGTGACACTGGTGACCACAGGATCACCTAAGGTTAAAGAGACGGCGGAGAATAGCAAAACCTAAGCTGCAGTCCACCACCACCTCCGCGTCGGCTGAATTGCTACCAGGAGCATAAGCATCTTCCCACGAAATTGCTAAAGCTATTTAAACAGTGACCTCTAATGGACAAATCATATAATACCGGTATTTCCACTGGCAACAGGAACACGCAGGGACTCCAGGTTATGACCAGGTAATGACACAAAAGCTAGAATCTCTAAATAGATTCCCCAGATCATTACACCACCAATTAACCATCTCAGGCGGGTAAGTCAAGTAACTGTTACAGGAGTTACAAGTCATCAAAAACTGACAGCTTTATCCCCAAAAATAAGTGAAAATAGAAAACATCAAGTTGTGCACATTCTGATGACCAGCACTTGTACCCGCTGTCAATGCTGAAGTTACCTTTGACATCTCAGCCTGCTTTCCAGCCACATCTTCCCTTCTGTGCACTACCAGGTTAACCCGAGCTTCTGAATGCTCTTCAAGCACATTTCCTATTCATGAAGAAGTACGGGGATTGTAATTATCAAACTTCATCAGCATACCCAGTAAGGATATTATATGTGACTATACCAGGATGTGAAATTTCCACAAATTTGAGGAACATTTGTCATGACTTCCATTTATTTTGATGTTAGCCAATGGGTCCAAAAGCACCCAGGTTAGTATCAGACTACCTATGCAGGCCAGTAGCTTAAGCATGACTGTCTATTTTGTTTCTCAGCTGTATACTGGGTAAAAGGCTTAAGCCACGAAATGATGGAACAAAAAGCTCCCAGTACAGATATGTGGGACACTGGCCCACATATCCACATTAAGTTAAGAGAAACACCAAACCCAAATATGCACTTTCTCCCTCTGCTTCAACTGGATTGTCACGGAAGACCCAGAAGTGGAATCATGTCAGGTTTGTCACTTACACACCAAGTGGCTCAAAAGACTGCAGGATTACAGCTATTTAGCTTCACCTAGAGTTTAGCTTCTGATTTTGCAGCAAAAGTTCTCATTGAATAGCAAAGGACAAACTAAGCTGTTTTAGAAGTTCCCTAGAGCAGAAGCAGCCAGTTCAAGACTCCTCCATTAGCAGAGCACCAGAGTTGAAAAAAATCCAGCCTAATGTTTGCCAGAAAAATCAATGTGGATTTGAGCATTTCTGATAAGGAATGATTTAGACAGTTAAATGCACAAGCACTAGCAGTATGAATAGCATACTAAAAATACTAACAAGAGCCATGCCACAGAAATATTAAAAGTATGATGGATTTAATAGTGCGGTCCTCATACTTGCTTATGTAACTTTACTTACTTTTACCAGAGTTTGCTGGCAAAAATATGAACTATGGTTACATAAAAATATGCATATCCAGTTTCACATGTATTTATTCTTCCAGATAGACATATTTACTCTAAACAGCAGGGAAAAAAGAGCAAGCAGAACACTCATTTAAATGGCAGAAAACTAGCAGAAGATGCTAATATGACCTTAGTGTAGCATGTCAAGTGTCACTGCCACCAGCTTCCTAGTCATTTTAAGAACAATCTGCTAAGACAACTAATTACATAGCTTAAAAGATTAGGTCAACAGTGTCAAATACGAGAATATGAACTTGAAATCTAGCCTTTTAAAAATATGTGCTGTCTATTGAAACGTCTACATCAATTTGTGAAAGAATAGTAAGATTCAGACTTGATGAGTTACTTCTCAGGAAAAGCAGTGGTTTTACCATTCCATAAAAGAAACCCAAACATAGCAACTAGAAAGGCTGACAGAATCCTGTGGCTAAGAGAACAGATACACTTACAGCCTGCTGATCTAAGGACTACTTTAGAAGAAAGCAATAATTAAAAGTTAGGATTTAGTGTAATGCAATTTTACAGTAGTGGCAATCCTTAAGGTGGTATTTTGAAAACTAAAACTGCTTTAAACTAATGGTGTAGTCTAGATCTTTCTTCAATGAAGACAACCTGAACATATTCTTCTTGGACACCTCTTACTACCATATCTTTATCCTCCCCAGTCAAATCTACAGCTAAGACTCATAGCTAGAATACAGGTTAGCTACTTAGCTAGGACTCAGGTTGGTTACTTAGCTTTTAATTCTGGTGCTTATGCTGAAGCATGTCACTCTCCCCAGGCTCAGTTCTCAGACAGCCAAGTTTACCATGACTCAAGTCTCCCTGCAGGAGTTTCAGCCTCTCTTCTTTTCCTCAGAGCAAGGTAGATGCCTGCTATTTGCCCAGCCAGTTGTGTGTTCAGCTGAACTCTCCCTTTAACTACGTTTAAGACTTTAAGGTGTCTCACAGAAGAGTTAAGTCCTTGGAAGTCTGTTAGTTTTCAAAAGTAGTAGGATTCTTACAAATCCCAGAGAAAGAATAGTCAAGTTTACCAAAAGTATTGCTTACAACTTGTTTTATCCTTGTGTCAACTAAGCAGCCATTCAGACAGAAGATTCCAGAGCAAATAATCAGCACCAGAGAAGTTCTGCCTGGCAGCACCAGGTACCCATCTACGGATGACTTGTCTGACCAGAAGCATTAGATGGAGGTGTGCAGAACAAGCTGCTGCAACAAGATACCTGCAGCCCTCCAGAAGCTGCAGAGAAAGCTGAAGTGGCTGGATACAATTAACTGCCTAGCCTTTAAGCAGCTCAAATTCAGAGAAAGGTGCCTCCCTGCAGTGACCTGAGGGAACACAAAAGGCACCAGCTGGGTGGCCCCATAGCCCAACTCCACCAGGGGCTGACAGCAGATGCTGGGCAGCAGTATGGCCAAAGCAAGCTTAACATAATGCTCTCCCAAAACATTCTCTCAGCTTCCAGCTATTCATAACTACACCACCTTCTAAACCAGGAGTAGAGCTGTATGCTTGATAGCAATGTTTACAATTTTCCCTGCCCGAATCTGCCCATGAATTTAGTCAGTCATCATTTATACATTAGGTGGCTGGAAATTGCTGGTCAAATTTATAAATAGATTGAGATGTCTCTGAAAACTTCAACAGGGATAAAAACAGAATAGCAAGATGCCAGTCTATGGGACACTGTATAATCAGAAGCAGGGCCCAGGATAACTAATTCATACTTCTTGCAGCCACTCACTGTGATATCCATATTAATAACTATATATATATTAATAGATAGTGTATATATAATTATATATATTAAAATATCCATATTTTTATCCATTTACTACTGCTACTACAAACCCTTTAAGCTACACATTAGTACCCAATAAATTTCATCCAGAGAAGTGTTTATGTGCTACAATCTAAAAATATTCTTTTTTCCCCCTCATGCTTAATCCTATGCAAATGCTCAGAACCTTAAGTGAGATTTTCACATTAACACATATGTTTTAAATTACACATACTATCTCTACTGCTTGTGTGGCAAGTAGTTTAGAGTTCAATAGGTTGGGTTTTTATGGTTGGTTTATGGGTTTGTTGAGTATTTTTTTAAACCCATCTTGGTTTGCAAAGATTTCTGTGCTCTCACGACATGTTATTCACCAGCACCATACTTAAGGGCTTCTTTACTATGGGAAGCAGGATCCAAGTTAATAACTGAAGGTGGTGTGTGTAGCACAAGCAAGACAACTTACACTCAGCAGATTTTGTTTTGACAGAAGTAGACCTACTTGACTTTCGCGTCTGAACCTTGCATTCAGTTGGCCTTGCTCAGAGATGTTTGGTTATAGATATAATATAGTTGAACTGTAGTTTATTTTCACCTGCTTCAGTCAAATTAACCATTCATCTGCTAAAATGCAAACTGTATAATTTCTGATACAGTTAAAGATTTTGGGCTGAACTGGCAAGAAGAGTGAGATTACAGATCTTCCAGTATGCAGCAGATGGGTACTGAAGTTGGAAAGGCACATTGAATGTGGCTGCTAAGTCACATGCTCGATCTCTTTGATTTTAATGAAGTGCTTCATCAAGAAGCTTCTTGATGAAGCACTTTAACATTGACACTGTGATGTTTTAAAACAAAAGAAACAAACCAAAAAACTAGCAGTGTCCTGTTTTCAGTACTGCTCAACTGACTGTAATGAAGTCCAAAACCAGCAGTATACTTACTTGTAAGCTTGTTGTGACTCAGAACCAGTTGTGTGATGTGAGACAAGGTAACTGCAAACGAAGAGAGAAAGAAGTTAGTTTATGGACATTGCAACTGAAAGCTTGTATCTATTTCAGCTAAAAAAGGGGAAAGTTGTTATCTCCACTCAAGTAACTCCAGATTCATGAGCACTGTCACAATAAACAAGACAAGCTTTAGACTTAACAATTTATCCAGCCACTCCTCTGCCCCGTTACTTCAGGCCTAGACCAGGTTGGATAGGGCCTTGAGCAACACAGTCTAGTGGAAGGTGTGCCTGCCCATGGTGGAGGAATTGGAACTTGATGATCTTTACGATCTTCAAGGTTCCTTCCAACCCAAAACGTTCTGTGACGCTGCAACCTAGCACAGCTTCAGCAGTAAGTACTGGTGCCTCCCAAAAGAGGTGTGATTCTCGGCACACAAACACCTTTCTCATTCCCACCCTTTGAATACTTCCGAAGTTAAAACTGACAGGTACGCTTAACATCTATCCCAACAGAACACATGACACACCAGCAATTACATTTTCACATGTTCGCAATTCATTATCAAGTCAATGCCAGATTTAAGTCCTAAGTACAAACAGCTGCATTTCCAACCTCACACCCACAAAGCATGGTAGCAGAATAGCGCTGCTGTTGCGTGGAGAATGGCCAGATGACATCATGCAATATTTACTCCAAATTAACTGAATGACCCAATTGATCAAAGCCCCTCAGATTCTACCTTATTGAACAAACAAGTGTGGGGCACAGGGCAGCTGCAGACCAGCACTCCCCCTACATTTCTTCATCCTTCACATTTCTTCTTGCCTATTTCCACCCTTCACACCACCATCGCTTTCCCTAGGAGCTCTATAGCCCAGAATTGACAACAGTATCTGATCATAAAAACATGCTAAGTAGTCAAGAGAAGAAACTCACACCATGAAGGAATTCTCAAAACATATTCCCCCTCCATGTAAAAAGTTTGTTGTATTTTACTGGAACTAGGAAAAAAATGCAGAGGTTTTCCTCCCCTACATCTTTTCCTTACTTCCAGTGTAGCCTCTCCAAAGCAGCTCTAGAACATACCTTAATCCCCTTCCTAGGCAGCTGGGAACATTTCCTGCCTGAAGGACAGCTGTAGTGCCATGTCTCTCATCCCTCAGAGCTTTCCTCAAGCAACAGACATCACTAACATTAGCTCAGAGACAGCCCACAGGCATCTCTCTACCTTGGGGAATGAAGATATCCTGGTGACTATGTGTGAAAACTGGCCATGCCAACCAATACTTACTAAATTGCAAGTTGCAGGAAACAGCTTGAAGAGCTTTTACTTACTGATACAGCATCCTGTTTCAGCTAACCTTTGAAAGCTCATGACTTAAAACAGGCAAATATAACCTGTCGGCAGAATGAAAGCAGTCACCACAGTTCCCTGTGCAATCACAGGTTGTGGAGGAAGGAAAGGCAGGAAGAAGAAAGGAAGAAACAGTGCACCCACCCTAAATTCTCCTAAAATATGAGTGCTCCAAGTATTGCCTGCATCACCGCCTCTCAAAGTACAAGAGAAGGACAGAGAAAGTCCAAAGAAAGTCTGTAAGAATATTGTGGAAAAAACAGCATTAAAAGGCAGGCAAGAACAGTAGCCTCCACAAAGAGCTCTATGATGCAAAACATAAAAGGCACCTCAGCATCTGAACCATAAGTAACCATTTAACATTATTGATTACTTACACATAGAGCTAAACATAGGAATGTAATTTCCACAAAAAACAAAACACACACACACAAAAAAAAAAAAAAAAAAAAAAAAGGAGAGAAAATGCTGCCTGGTAAAGGTCTTCAAACCCCCACCCTGCAGGTGCAGGGACTGGAATCTCAAATCGGGCAGCCAGGCACAGAGCGAGTTCTAACAACTTTTGAACTATTTCTTTTTCCCTTTGAAGCTGACGCTTCCTTTGGTTTATTACAGCAGAACAAAGACAGAGGCCATCACCCCACTTCTGTGGTCTTGACCAGCTCATTCCAGTTTTGCACAGAGCTTTGCCAGCTTCAGCAGAGAATACAAAATTCAGATAATCTGTTCTTTTCTTTGCTGGAGTCCATAATGAACTTCATTACTTTAAAGCCAGCAATCCCCATTATGTGCCTTTTAATAAGCAGCTAGACTGACTTGAGAAACTACGTGAGGAAAGGCTCAAATTCAGCTCATACCTCCACCAATATGATGGGCATTTATCAACCCTTTTCTGCTACCTGTTCTATGAACAGGATGTGACTTCTATGAAAGATTACTTGTTAACATTAAGACTAGACTTGTCCAAGGTTACCAAAATAAAGGAAACTCTTTAAGATAACAGTAAGGAAGTAATCCTGATCATGCCCCACTAAGTGAAACACCCATTCAAAGCACACAAATCAGAATGACAACTCACACAGAAAATCCTAAATGCTGCTTTTAGTCTGCTTCTGTGCTCAAGATGTAATCCAGTATTTAAAATAAAAAACATGACAAATACTATTTTAACTCCTGCAAGAAGCCAGCTTACCAGGAGACACCACTTGCACGCAACATATTTGCACCACAGAAGCATGAAGTCTCTGAAATGCACTGTGTGAGACAGCAGCATGCATCCAAGTACTTGCTCTGGATCACTTACAAACTGAACTAAGAAACAAGAGAGTAAGAAAAGGAAATGTTTTATTAATAGAGAACTGAGACAGACCTTGCTCTAATCCATGTGTACACAGATGATGAACCTTTCCTGAAATGATTTCATCATTTCTAAACATAAGAAGTGAGGATGCTTACTCAAGGGCAATTAAGCTTTGGGGCTGCAGACTCAGGTATT